GAGCCACCCAGGCGCCCCCATTTTTCATAGTTCTTCACTATTCTGACCAATACTAGAATGGGCATTTTGTGCCTTCACCTTTAGGTTTTTATCCAACTGTTTCTTTAGGATAAATATTTAAAAACTGCAATGGGTGGGTCAAAATGCATGCAGTTACATATTTTTTAATTTTTTTAAAAGATTTTATTTATTCATTTGAGACACAGAGATAGAGAGAGAGAGAGAGCGTGAGCAGAGAGAAAGGCAGAGGGAGAGGGAGAAGCAGGCTCCTGGCTGAGCCAGCAGCCCGATGTGGGGCTCGATCCCAGGACTCTGGGATCATGACCTGAGCCGAAGGCAGACGCTTAACCATCTGAGCCACCCAGGCGCCCCTAATTTTTAAAAAGATTTTATTTATTTATTTGAGAGAGTGAGAGAGAGAGCACAAGCAGGGGCAGGGTAGAGGGAGAGGGAGAAGCAGGCTCCTCGCTGAGCAGGGAGTGTTAAAGGCAGATACTTAACTGACTGAGCCACCTAGGCACCCCCATGCAGTTATATTTTTGATAACTATTGTCAGACCACTCTTGGAAAGCTGTATGTACCAACTTCCACCAACACTAACAAGCTATGAAAGTTCTTTGCCTACCCAAGGATGGTCCATCTCTTCATTATTTGCCAGTTGATTAAAACAATATATATATAGGGATGCCTGGGTGGCTCAGTCGGTTAAGCATCTGCCTTTGGCTCAGGTCATGATCCCAGGGTCCTGGGGTCGAGCCCCACATCGGGCTCCTTGCTCAGCGGGGTGCCTGCTTCTCCCTCTGGCTGCTGCTCTCTCTCTCTGACAAATAAATAAAATCTTTAAAATATATATATATATATCTTTTAGGGGCACCTGGCTGGCTCAGTTGGTGGAGCATGTGACACTTGTTCTCGGGGTCTTGAGTTCAAGCCCCATTTTGGGTGTAGGGCTAAAAAAAGGGGGGAGCAATAATAATGAAAGTATCAGGTAGTTATCTAGTAGCTATCATTGTGGGACAGACAGTAGGTGAAGTGAGGTCTCTGCCTTTTCTCGACAGGGTTAGAACCTGGCCCCCGTTTCCTATAATGGTATATATCTCAAGGACTGCTGGAGAGCCAATAAGATAATCCACCTAATGAGTTTAGCACAGGGCACAGCCCTCGAAAGGCTGGAAGAGCCAGGGCCTTTTGTCCCAGACCACATAGCTTGTTTGCAAGTGGCTGATGTCAGTTTCAATGTGAACCACCTCCACCCCTTCCCCAGGTCTCCCTGTCCTATTCAGATTACAAGGCCCTGCTGCTGTGCCCCATTGCCCTTGGTCACTTTTGCCTGAGGAAAGATGAACTCCCCATCACGAGGATTTTAAAGAGCCAGCTGATGGTCACATGCCCACCTCTGCCCTTTGATCCACATTCTCAGATTGTCACAGTGTCCCAACAGAGGAGGCATCTGGGACATCATGCCTACACTTGGGGAAACTGAGGTCCAGAGCAAGAAGTCTCATCAGCCTTCCCCTGCAGCCTGGGGTTGGTGCTGTCGCCTCCTGACCCTCAGCCCGACACCCTTTCCCCGACTCTGCCTCCCTTTGAAACACCCTTGGGAAAACGTCTGTGTCTCCTCTTTACTTCTTGCACAAAGTTCAGATTCCCTGGAAACTTCTACCTAGTTTTCCAGCTTTTTTTTTCCCCCTCTCTGGGTCCAGGCTAGCCCCCACTCTTCTGGGCCAGGATATCTACATACTGTAAATCTTCAAAACCACAGTGAAACAGGCAAACCTTTGTACACGCTAAATCCTATACATTCACCCTCTCAAGTTCCAGAACTGTATAGTCTCAGATGGTAACCATTGGTTGCATGTGGCTACTTAATGGAAAGGAAAAGAAAAACTCCATCTCCTCAGTGGCACTCATCACATCTCAAATGCTTAACAGCCACGTGTGGCTAGTGGCTACCATGTTGGATAAGCACAGACAGAGCATTACCATCATTGTAGAAGGTTTCACTGGTCAGTCCTGCCCTAGACTGACCGGGATTTTTGTTATCCTCATTTTAATAGATGTGACAACTGAAGGTCAGAGAGATCAGGCCCAAGGTCACACAGCGGGAGCTGGGATCTACACTACTGATAAGGACATGAATAGAGCAGAGTAGGCAGGTCAACCTTTGCTTAGATCCAAGGAAGCTGCCCTCATTTTATTTCAAAACACACATGTTGTGAATATATACATCTGTTGATCCCACTGTTTAACCACTTAAGCACTGAGTGTGTATCTCAATTTATTACACCCAAGAGGCAGCCAGTATTCTAAACCAAAAGCTCTAATCACAAACACTTCTGTTATCCATATCTTTATCCACTTGGGAAGTTTTCCTCATTAGCATAATGAATGTCAGAAACATTGGTGAAATCAAGGGTTTGTTAATTACCCTGATAAAGGTGGAGAAAATGGGATCCCTTGAGTGGAATTAACAGTATTCAAATACGTGGATTGGTTAAAATATCTGAGTCGTTCCCTCCCCAACCTCGAAGGAACACGTTAACGAAACAGCTTCAATCCCAAGCCAGTCTTGTGTGAATTTGGACGGTTTAGCTCGCCTGATACCGACCCTAAGGCTACAGGCTCAAAGCAACACAGAGCCCTGCCTTTAAGATATGATTCAGGTTTGGGGGCATCTGTCTGGCTCAGTCAATAGAGCGTGCTACATCTTGATAGGGCCGTGAGTTCGAGTTCCACATTGGGTGTAGAAATTACTTAAAATCTTAAAAAAAAAAAAAAAAAAGATATAGATATTCAGGTTCAGGTTTGTTTTTTCGTTTTCTTTTAATGCAACATGAAGGTTGCAACACCAAAATGGCCAGGATCCTGGGAATTCATAGAACTTATAGGGGTAAATAAATGCCCTTGTGCCTGTTTATCAAGTTTAACGTCTGCATGGCAGAATTTGACCAGAGACCTTTTATCATAGCCTGGCAGCCAGATGGTGGAGGTATTATCAAACAGGCCCCCTCGAGGTTTCCAGGAATGACTCTGAGATTCCAGAAGTACCCAAGAGGTCTGTCAGAGATGCTAAGAGAAGTGGGGTTTACCTGGGTCTGCTGGCCTCCAAAGACCAGTCCAAACCTCCACTTTACAACCTGGAGTCCTTGAGCAGGTGCCCGGTCCAGGCCCTGGGGCGGGGCGGGGGGGGGGGGTTGGTTCTTGCCCCTTTGTTGCCCCCCTTCAGGTTCTATCTGCTTGAGGAATTATAGGGACAGAGCCTCCCTTTCCCCTTACCCCGACCCCAGGCAGACAGTGCAGGAGAGGTGGACCTCCCAAGAACAGGGTGGGAAAGGAAGTCACATAAGCCAGGAAGATCAGTGAAAGCCTTGATTTAATTGGAGACAAGATCGAAGGATTGATTATCGATCAACGGACCGACTGATTGATCGTCGAAATGGACAACACAAGAGCAGCTCAGGGGGGTCCTGTGCCCCGTCCCCCGGGGAGAGGAGCCCTGATTGGGGGTGGGGTTCCAACTCACCAGTCACACCTGGGTAAGGGGAAGCCCTCGCCCCTTACAATGACACGACTTCCCATCAAGCGGCAGCGCGGAATCCACCCTTTCGGGGTCTATGGTACAGTTTGTATAATACAGTGGGAATGGGGACTCTCTTTCTGGGAGACCCCACCCCTCCTTCCCCTGACCGGGTCTACTGGGGAAGGGCAAGTTTATTTTCCCTTTTTGCCTCTGTAGAATAATTTACAAACCAACCATACAATATGTACAAAAAAAAAAAAAAAAAAAAAGAGAGAGAGAGAGAGAAGAAAACCAAAAAGAAGTCCCACTCCAGTCACTGGCTGGGACAGAAACTAATGTCGCTACAAAAATGAACCCTGTACAGCATCATGGGGGTGGGAGTGGGCGGTAGTCCCCACAGGGATGGACAGACAGATGGAAGGCTGCGGGCAGCTGGGGGCTACAGTACCGTGTGCTCAGAATTGGGGGTGGGGGAATGAGAGAGAGGCCCTGCCTTGCCCAGCTGCAGAACTGGGCCGAAGGGCATAAAGGAGGGGGAAGGGGGGGGTCTTTCCTTTCAAACAGTCCCCCACGGCTTGGAGAAAAAGGGCCTTGCATCTGTCTGTCGTATTGCTCCAGGAATAGCTAAGGGGTGAAGGGGAGGCGTGGCCAAGTGGGGGCAAAGGAGAAATGACTTTGGTTGGTGCCAGGGTGGGAAAGGGCTGCCCAGAAAGGGGGTGTGGATGTACACTGTTATTGCTTCCTCCTAGGGCAAAGGGTCATGAAGGGGGTCAGGAGGATGCTGGGGGGGGAGGTGCCCAGGATGGGGGCTCTGGGCCTGGTCCCACCCCACCCAAGGTGTAGGTGGGAGCCACTGCAAACCCCTCTCCTACGGCCGTGGGGGATCATTAAGGCAGAAACAAGAGGAGAAGCAGCTGGAAGGAGGGGTATGGTTCAGAGCCATCTCCCCCCTAAATGGAGAAAATTCAAACAGAACCCAAAGTGAAAGGGCAAGGGGATGGCAAGCGGAGGGGGGATCAGGCCCTCCTCGAACCTCAGACCCCAGGTTAGTGGTGTGAATGTCCCTCCAACACCTCCCCTCTGCTACATCTGAAAGTGCACAGCTCCCCTGTCCCCGTCCCTGTCCCCCAAGTTATAGTATTGCCAGGTTTGTGCAAAATGAGGCGGAAGACTTCTGGGGGTGGGGGTGGTGGGCAGTGAGCCAGAGAGGGGCTGGAGCTGGGGCCTCCCCTGGTGACAGCCCCCCAGAGCCCCCGCCCAGAATGGCTATTCCTGGTTAGGTTCCAGAGACCCTCCAAAATTCAGAGGAAAAGCCTGGAGGGAGGGAGGGAGGCGCAACGCCTGCTTGGGCCCAGGCGGGGAGCCCTAGGAGGCCGGAAGACTGAGCCTGGGACCTGGGACGGGGGAGGCGGCCGGGGAGGGACACGAGGGGTTTAGTCCGGAAAAGGAGCGTCTACAGTGGCTGTGTTTTATCCTGGTTTTTTTTTTTTTTTTTTCTTTTTCTAAAAATGTAACAATTAAAATTCCAAAAATAAAATCCCTTCTGGGACCTCCGCCCCTTGTTCCCCAGCCCCCACCTCCAAAAAGAGGCCCCGTGGGTGGGGGTGGGGGGAAAGAGGAAAAAAAGAAAAGAGAAAAAAACCCACTTTTCTGTTTTCTTTTTTCTCAGGAGGCCCAAGAGTCTTTGAGGCAGTGGAGGAGGTGGTCGGGGGGTGATGGTGGTGGAGGGAGGCGGGGAGAGCAACAGGGTGGAGGGGCCGGGGCTCAGGTAGGACCTCCAGCTGACCCCCACCCACCAGGAGCTAGGAGTTGGGAGGGGTCCTCGCCAGATGTTCCTGTGCAGGCACTGCACGCCCTCTTGGCAGCCTGATGCTCTTTTTGGGCCCCCACCTCGGCCGCCATGGAGGGGAGGCCCAGGAGGCCCGGGGCTTCCTCTGGAGGGGGCGGGGTCCTCAAGGCAGGCAGAGGGGGACTCTCAGCAGACAGGGCCAGGGGTCTGCTGCGGCCCCCAGCCTCCACGGATGCATCTGGGGACACGGATTCGTCCTTGCCCGCAGCCACACTATCTGCGGAGTCGCCTTGCTGTGCGAAGCGCGGTTCCTTTACCTTCACCTCTGTGGCCACAGCCTGGCCATCCGCCTCCCATAGTTCCTCAGCTGGGGATGGATCCTGAGCCAGGGACAAGTCCCGCACTTCAAATGCACCTGGGGAGGTAGACAGCTCCTCCTCCTCTTCTTCCTCCAGCGTCAGCTCAAACTGGAACTTATCCGGTGGGGGCGGGTGGCCTGGCCCCCTGGGGCCCTCCTCGGGCGGTGGGGAAGGGCTCTGCCGGACGGCGCTGTAGTACCAGTCCCTGTTGTCCTCCAACGTGTCCAGGATCTCCTGGGCGTCTGGGTGGACCAGGTCGGCCCACGTCTCCCACAGCGGGTGTACAATATAGTCGATGAAACCCACCTAGGAGCGAGGGGAGAAAGGTACAAACTGGGGGCCCGCTGGTGCAGATCACCCTGCCATGCTGGGCGATCTAGCAGAATCTAAAAGAGGCTGATAGCAGTTAACCTTGTAATCTTGCCTCTCAGATCCATCCTGGAAAAACTTGCATGGGTAAGAAAAAAAAATCTTCACATATGAGATGCCAACAAATACTGGAAACCTCCATATATCTGTCAGTTGGGAATTAGTTTTTAAAAACTGTGGTACACCACAGATATTAATAATGACTTTTTTTTTTTTTTTTTTGCAACAAAGAAAAACTAGAAATAACTCCATGGCAGAGTATTGCCTAACCCACTTTGATATTATCTTCTCTCCTTCTTATTTTTTTTAAGTTTTTTAAAAAAATATTTTATTTATTTTTCAGAGTGAGAGAGCAAGAGAGAGCACAAGCAGGGGAAGCGGCAGGCGGAGGGAGAAGCAGGCTCCCCGCTGAGTACGGAGCCCGAGGTGGGACTCGATCCCAGGACCCTGGGATCACGACTTGAGCTAAAGGCAGACATTTAACCGACCGAGCCACCCTGGTGTCCCTCTTCCCTCCTTATTAACAGAATCTTGATTTTTCTTGGTGGAGGAAATGCTTCCCCTACACAGCTGAAAACTACATTTCCCAGCGGCCTTTGCAAAGAGAGGGTGGCCGTGTGACCACAGGTAGATGGAAGATTGGAGCTGGGGTGGGAGTCCGGAGTAGGGGTGCTGCCTCAACTGGCAGAGACCTTTCCTCCCTCCTTTGTAGCCAGAATGGCTAGAGCTTCCATAGCATCTGTGACCACGAGAGGCATCTCTGGGGACAGAGGCCCCAAGCTTCTGATGATAGAAATCTCCTAGGTGACTGACCATTTCATGGAGCCAAAGGGAGCGATATTCTTCCTCTAGGCTTTTTTACATAAGAGGGAACACAAATGAAGGTTTATCTTGTTTGAGTCACTGTGAATTTATAACTCCCCAATACCTAAATGTCCAGCCACAGGAGAAAAACCATTAGCTAGTTTCCCCAGGAACCATTAGCTAACTAAATCTGTGAGAATACTATACAACAGTCAAAAGGGATGCACTAAATCTACGTGTAATAACTTGGACAGATCTCCAAGGCATTGTTTGGGAAAAAAAGCAAGCTGTATAAAAATAGGTATATATTGATAAAATTCGTATGTTTTAAAAAAGCAAAACCCATGAACTATTAACTTGCCTGTAAACATAACTATAACAAAATGTATGAAACTGGTTTTCCCATGCGTTGGTAGGATGGGGGTGATCTGCATGCTCAGGGGACATTTGGAAGTGTCTAGAAATATTTGTGGTGGTTCTAACTGGAAGGGGAGGTTGTAGGCCAGGGATGCTGCTCTACATCCTCCAAAGCGCAGGAAGGCCCCTGCGACAGAGAATGATCGGGCCCCAAAAGTCAACAGTGCCAACGCTGGGTAACTCTGGTCTGGAAAGGCGTGCACAGTGAACTGGGAAAAATAGGTCTCCCCAGGGAGGAGCCTGGAAGTGGGGAGGGTGAGAATCTTTCACGTTCACACTTTACAAACAAGATTGGGTTTCTGTACCTCTTATCAAGTTAAGTAAGCACACAAAGACGAGTCATTGCATCTCATTTCAAAATCCACCAAAAATCAAGGATGAGATCAGTGGCCAGGTTACAGGGAAATTGAGAGGCTGTATCAACGTAAGGTCTGTAACTAAGAGCCAGGTAAGTATTATTAATGCTACTTGGTGGCTACAAATGAGTTAGAACTTGTTTGACTCAGGTCTACAAATGGTGGGTCCAGAGGCCCAGTTTGGTTGTTCTGTAGGAGACAAAATGTTGCAAATTTCCCATCAAGACAGAAAAGGAAAAAAAGCACAGAATAACTTGGCTTTGTGGAGGGGCAGGTCAGGAGCGTCTGGGCCTCTCGGAGCTCCAGGCCAGCATGGGATGGGGGAGAGCCACCCTGCTGCCTTCCACAGGGGCCACAAAACTCTACCAAAGGGCGCCTGGGTGGCTCAGTTGGTTAAGCGACTGCCTTCGGCTCAGGCCATGATCCTGGAGTCCTGGGATCGAGTCCCACGTCGGGCTGCCTGCTCAGCGGGGAGTCTGCTTCTCCCTCTGACCCTCCCCCGTCTCAATATGCTCTCTCTCTCTCTCTCATTCTCTCTCTTTCAAGTAAATAAATAAATCTGTACCTGAGACTTCTCCACCGAGGCTGTGTGCTTGTCGCACATGGGGCTGATCTCCATGCCCCGCTCCCGCTCCCGGTCGCCCTGCTGGAAGAACTCGGCCATGATGCGGTCCGTCCATTGGCGGTACAGCCCCAGTGGTTTGGTGGGGTTGCTGAGGTCTGCACAGTGCACCATGTTCCGAAGGACCTGCGTGAGGTGGGGGACCTTCAGAGGCCATGCCTGTGTCCCAGTGTGGAACCTCATGCTTCCTCACCTCCCCCTTTACAGGGAGAGTGAGAAGAAGGCGTGGTGAGGATATGGAGAAAGGGAGGGGAAATGAGGAGGAGAGGGGAGAGCAAGGGGGGGGAGAGAAAAGAAAGAGTTGGGTGTGGGAGAGGAGAGAAGGCAGTGCTGGGGGAGGCGGAGGGGACAGGAAGGGGTGATGGAAGGGAAGAGGAAATGAGGAGGGATGGTAGGAGATGGGGGTTGGGATGGAGAGATGGGAGGGAGAGAGAAAAGAGACAGGAAGATGGGCAACATGGGAGCTGGAGGCTGAGGGAGGGGAGCCACCCAGACCCAAAGGGGGGAGAAGAGAGAGGCTCTAGTCTCCCTATATGGTGGGCGAAGGGGCACCTGTATGCGGTCAGAGTAGTTGTCCAGCAGGAGGACCCCCGAGCTGGTCACTTTCTTGGTCTCCACCATGGTCTTCAGGTCTGCCAGGAGGGTCATGTGTTTGGACATGTCCGTGGCCAGCACCTGTGGGTGAGGGGGCATCACAGGGGCCGCTGAAGCCCTGTTCTGGGTTGTACCGACCCGACCTGCGCCTCTATGGTTTTTGCTCAGCACAACCTGTCCCCAGCCCCCACAAGGGACGCCTCTCCCGGGGCTTCCAGTCCTGGACTCAGACCCTGCCGCTCCCCAAGCCTCAGAGGAGACCTTTCCAGTCCGGTCCCCGCCCCGGCCCCGCCCACCATGTCGATGACCATCTTGCGCAGGCTCTGCCGCTGGCGCTTGCTGAGGTTCTGGAAGATGTCGCAGTTGTCTTCCTGCAGCAGCTTGAAGCCCACGGCCAGGTGGTGGTTCTCCAGCACCGACTCGTCGTTGTACATGAGCGCCAGCTCCGAATCTGCGGCCCAGGCCCAGACAGGTGGTCAGGGGAGCGCCGGAGCCATCCGGGCCCGCCCCCAACCCAGCAGGCCCCGCCCCCAACCCGGCAGGCCCCGCCCCCACGGGGGGCCACTCACTGGTGTTGATGAGGAACTGGTTGGAGACCCCCGGGTGGTCCACGTCATGAATGGCAGCCGCGAAGAGGGCGGCAAGAATCTCCAGGTCCGTGAACACAGCCTAGAGGCAGAGAGTGGGGGATGGAGAGAGATGGATTAGAAAGATGGGGGTTCTGAGAGACAGGATAAGACAGAGATGGGGATGTCACAAAAAAGGGAGTTCAGGAGAGAGAGAGATAAGGATCAGAAAGAGGAACAGGATCAGAGAGGGACGGAGGTCAGAGACCCAAGGCCAGAGAAACAAACGGGAGACAGGAGGTGGGCAGTGAGAGACGCGGGGGCCAGGCTCACATCGAGCGCGGGTGTGGCCAACAGCACATGCGTGGACTGCAGCACATCAGCCGCGTGCAGGCTGTTGTGGTAGGCCACATCGGGGTGGTAGTGGTCCTCCAGGGTCAGCATATAAGTCACCATGGTGTCCACTGGGATGCGGAACTTCTTTAGCAGGTCCCGCTCCTGAGGTCAAGGTATGAGGAGGGGGCAGTGACTCCTGCAGGCTCTCTGCTCTCCACAGTGCCCCCCTCCCTCGCACCCTGCCCCACTCTGCCCACCCTACCTGAAATATCGTGTACATGATGCAGCTGAGGGAACGGCCTCCCGCGTATTCTGACACGCAAAAGATGTTCAGACCCCACTTGTTCAGGTTCTCCAGTTCCTGGCGGAGTTGGAGGCCAGAGGTCAGGAGCCCACAAGAACCAGGGCCAAGCCCCTACCCATTTGGGTCAGAAGTTCCTCTCAGTTGATCTTCACCCCTCCTGACTCTTTCCTAGCAGTTCAGAGCTCTGGTCCGAAAGTAGCACTGTTATTGCTCACCCAGGGGGTGGCATGCTCGGCAGCATGGAATTTACCATCCATGTCCTACCGGCCAGAAGATAACAGGGCAACCACAGCGACTGTGTACTGAGTGATTATTATCTGCCAACCATTACACTAAGTGCTTGATATCATTTGGTTGGTTTGAGAACCAAAGCCCAGAGGAGTGATGAGACTTCCCCAAGACGCTGTATCTCACGAGTGGCCAAGCCGAAATGTTAACTCAGCTAGACTGACCGCAAAGCACAGTTTAACTTCTGAGCTAAACTGCTCATCAGTGCCAGGGAAAAAGGAACAGGGGCTAGTTTTCCATGTCTCTCCAGAACCCCGAACAGTGCCAGCACACGGTAGGTGTTCAATAAATGCTGGGTGACTGAAGGTGGCACAGCCTAGTGCCGGCTTGCAAGTTACAATACATAGCAATTGAGTAAGCCAACAAACATGCACCGCATCCGCCGTACAAACCCACGTGGGAGCCCCTTGGCTTTAGGTGTCACGGAAGAGCCAGGGGCTGAACCCAGGTCTGGCCGGTAGTGGATGCTATGGGGGTTCTGACCAGACCCCCTTCACTGACGGGTGCATCCATCCCCCACCTGCTGGGGCTGTTGCCCACCAAGACTCATGCCGCTCTGTTCTCCAGAAAACTGCTCTTGCCCCTACGGGAGCTACACAGAGGAGGTAATGCTGTCCACTCTGGGGGCAGCTCATAGCCAATGACTGACGCAAGGGTACAAAAGTCCAGCACTCTTGCCTCAAGGTGGGCTCAACTCTGTGGTGGTGTTCATACTCCAGAGCTCCATGATGGGTCAGGCTGAGGCCAGACGCTAGCTGATGCCACCTCCTGGCTTAGCTCCTTCCTATCCTGCTTCCTTCACTCCCTCTCTCCTGAGAGTCTCATAACCCCAGGATACCTGAATCCTCATTTCAGACTGACTCAATGCCCAGTCCCTGTCTGGGCCCCAGGAGACGCCCGTCCCTCTCTAGTCCAGCCCCTGCAGAGCTGCCACTCACTTGGGCCAGGAGCTCCTCTTGGTCAGTCTTCACCCCAAAGCGGGGGATGCTGGAATCATTCAGGCTGCTGCTGTGCATCAGCTTCTTCACCCCTGTGATCTGAGACATGGGCTGGAATTGCGGCCCAGGGGGCGGGGGCTGCTGGGAGGGTCTCTGCCGTGGGGCTGGCTGTTTTTCTCGATCCTTCATTGTGGGTGATGGAATCTCCACTTCATTCTGCTTGTCTGCAGAAGATGGAGGAGAGACAAGTATTAGCACCTCACAGAGATGCCCTCATCTGGCCCTCAGTCCCCCTCCCCTGCTCCCCACCGGGCCCTGGGAAGGCTCACTTGGGAGGGCAGACCCCTTCAGGGTGTCATGCTGTTGGTTAATTATAGGCTGGAAACCAGAAAGAAGGTAGGAATTCTTCTGGGAAGTGGTGGGCTGGAGTGGGGACCCTGGGGCTGGCCCGGAGCTATGGGGTAGCCCCAGTCTGATCTCCAGGTTTGGCAAGGGGGTGGCATGGGAAGTCAGGAAGCGGGGTGGGGATGCTAGAGAGAGCCGCTGCCTGCCCTGTATAGGCAGGGAAACTTCTCGGGCAAGGGAGACACCTCCCTGGTGACTAAGAGTGATGGTGGGGGTGGAAAGCACTGGGAGGCGGGAGGGAAGGGTAGTCTCTGGCTCCATGAACCCTCCTACCAGCCCACCCCTTTAACACCAGCCGCTTGGGGGCCAGCCCCAGGAGCCCTCTTTCTGAGCTTTCAAGGGCTTCCAGAGCCGAGCCCGGGCCACCCATTGTGACCTGCGGCCCTGCCCGTCAATAACAGGGCCTACTAGGGGTTATTTGCATGCCGTGCTCCCATTGGCTGGATCTCAGAACTCTGCATGGCCACACCCCCACTGGCGGGAGCATTTTAAACTCTGAACACTTCTCTTGAGATTGGTGCAGGGCCATTCTCCAGAATTTGGAAACTTTTGGTGATAAATTGAGAGGGTGAAATTATCCTCAGCTTGGGCTCTTGGGTTCAGAGATTAGGACGAGTTGGAGGTCCCCAGGAGCTTGAGGGTTCTAATGAATTTGAGGTATTCTGTATAACTGTATTGGGTATGGAAAATTTGGAGGAGTCTACTGAATTTGAGGGTCATAGCAAGTTGGATGATTCTACTGAATTTGGGAGACTTTTCAGCTTGGAGGGTTTTTTAAAGTTTGGGGGTCTCTTCTGGGCTCTTAAGGACAGTGGTTCTTTTAAGTTTGAGAACCCTACTGAGGGTGAGCACCTCTCTTGGGTTTGCGGGATCTCCTGAATTTGGGGGGGGGAATCCGAGTTTGGACATTCTTCTGAATTCGAGGAGGTCTTTCAGCCTGGAGGCATCTAAAGTTTAAGAATTCTATTTGAGTCTGTGGGTTTCTTGGGGTCTTGAGTTTGAGAGTTCCATTGTGGTTCCACTGAGTTTGGAGGGGCTCTTCTGTTTGGAGAGATTTTTTAATGTGGAGGTTCTATAAAGTCGACATCCCTCTGAGTTTGGGGGCATCGAGAGTATGGGAACTCTTGAGCATGGTAACCTGGATCTTTGGGGAATTAGGAGTCAGGGTCCCTTGGGCAAATGTCAGCAATAGGACCTGCGGGTCTGGGGCAGCCCCCTCCAGTCCAGGTGTGCAGCCTCCCCACAAAGTGCTGCCCTTCACTCACCCAGGAATGTGGTAGAGATGTACTCAGAGACCTGGTTTCCTGACCTGCTCATCTCTGACAGGTGTGTGAGTTCACGGTTTAACATCCTCTTGAACTAAGGTGAAGGAGGCAAGAAGGAAGGAATGATGGGGAGACCGGGCATCAGAGGGTGGGGGAGGTCAGCCCCTCCCAAGAAACTTCTGAAGACCCCACGAGTCCCTCCTACTTCTCTGATCAGCCAATAGAGCCCTCAGCAAGCTGCTAGAGGGGAGGGGTCAGCCCTTCCTCTCCTCCCAGGTCTGGATGGAGGCCCCAGGCTGGGAAGTCAGGACTCAGCATACCCCTCCCTTCCTGAGGAAGGGGGGCACCCCTCCCCAGACTTCCTCCTCCTCCGGCCCAAAAGGAGGAGCCAGAGGGGCACCTGTGGAAGGGAGGGGCTCCTTCCTAACAGTGAGCCAATGGGGTGTCAGGAGAATCCCGTCGCCATAGTGATGGGAGTCTCCTTAGCAACTCCCCCTCCAACCAGCTGCTGAGCTGGGGGAAAAGGGGGCAGCCTGCAGGCCCCTTAACCCTTGCCTTCCCAGAGCTACCCCAGCCCAAGTCTTCCCAGATATGGACCCCACTCCCAAGGCGCCCTGGCCCCCAGCTCCAAACGCAGTTTGGAAGGAGAGAATACAGTCTCTCCTTTGCAGGAGAGAATGCAAGTTCTGGGTGAAGAGAAGGTTTGTCAGGGGCAGGGGAGAATAGTGAGCTGAGGAAACCTTGTTCGGTCACCCAGGGGAGGGGGGTTCCCATCATAGCCCCCTCTCTCCCAACCTCAGAGGGGTGGACAGATGCACAGATGAATGGAGTATACACAGAACCAGGCCTGGCGGTCCCTCCTGGTCCCCCCATGCCACTTCACAGAAGCGTCTGCTGTGACATTGTGCATGGAGGAGAAAGGGCATTGGTTCCCCGCCCCCAAGCTCCACCAAAGCACCCCCAAACCAGGAGCAGACTCTGTCCAGAGAGGCAGGAGGACACCTGACAGGAAGGGTGAGCTCACATAGCCCACACCAGGATGGGGCACTTACTCCTCCCAGTGCTACCAGAGACCCCAGTTGCACAGAAAGCTACACATACACACACAAGATGGACCCACAAAGTCACACAACCACACAGAGTCACAGACTACGATCTCACACAGTTTTACACAGCCACAGACACACAAATCAAGGAGCATACACAATAAGGCGGTCACTGACACTTGGGGTCACATGCCCCAGAAAAATCACACAGCTCTGGGCTCACAAACATGTCCCAACACACACCACCACAAACAGAGCCATATGATCTCAGAGAGGGCCACATCATGACCCAGGCAAATAAGCATATGGTCAGACAGCCCCACACCACTGCAGACACACACACACAGGGGAGTGCTGACAGTCACACCCAGCAAGAGACCCACATCCCCAGCCACCCACTCTCCCCGCCCAGCCCTGGGCCACACACAGACAGTCACAAGGTTTCATGTCCAGGCCACACACGTGCACAGCTGCACACACCAGCCCAGACCAGGGGCTGGAGGATCCAAGGTGGGAGGGCCAGGGCCGAGTCTCCTGCCCATCCTCCACCCCAAGTTCCCCTACCTGGTCCCACCAGCCCACCAGCCACGGCTTGGAGCAGGTCTCACAGAAGAAATCCACCAAGGGCATCTTGGAATCTTAGCCCCGCTCAGGGCTGCCGCACAGAGAGGTTGGGTTTGGGGAGTCCCGGGCTAATAGCCACTGTGGGTGTGTGTGTGGGGGAGGGGTTCTGGGCAGGTGGGCAGTGCAAGGGGGAGCCGCGGAGGGGCCTGGGCCGGCCCAGCAGGGCTGGGGGCTCCCCTCCCCTCCGCGCTCCCGACAGCAGCCCTGGTTACATGGTCTGCCAGCCCCTGGCCCTGATGGGCCCCCCCGCAGCAGCGGCTGGAGGTGGCCTGGGACCCCTGCCCATGAGGGGGCAGGGCGAGGGTCCCGGGAGGTGGGCTCGGAGGCTCTGGGCTCCGTGTGCGCGCCTGTGTGCGTGCGTGTGCGTGCTCACTGCAGCACTGGCAGGCTGCATGCAACGTCAGGTGGTGCCGGGGGTGGGGGGGGCGTTAAAGGGGCATCCGAGCCCATGGGCCTAAGCCAAGATCCAGGTGGGGCTGCCAGGGATAGGCAGGGAGGCACAAACACCCTTGAGAGGACACATCCCCTCCGTGGACATACCCAGAGACAAAGACACACACCCAGATGCTCTACACATTCACAGACACACAAACACTCTGAGACACACCTTTCACACCAATCCACACGCAAACACACACCACAGAGTCACAACTCTGGTGTCCAACACATTTACAGGTAGTCGGTTGGGCATACAGGATGTAAACACTTTCAGACACACCCCTTCCAAGAACACAGACTCGCACCCAGACATGGAGACACACACCTAGGGACAAACACCCAGATTTACTGGCACACTTAACACACACTCAACACACCCACAGACACACTTTCAAACAAACACAAATACCCCTGTGGCCTTGGGCACAAACAAACCCCGAAAAATCCACAAGGGAATGCTCACACTCACACCCACAAATACACATACACACCATTGCAGAAACACACCCGAAGACCTACATTTAGAGACAGTCACATTCTCAGATGCTCAATACACCCTCAGAGACACAATCACTCTCAGACTCGAATGTTCCCAGACAAACCTCCACCCACAGGTGTAGGCACCCCCCCAACACAGACACCTCCACCTGCATATTCATTTCCTGATAGGCATCCTCCCATGAAGGCTACCACCAAGCTGCACAACTCCAGAAAACATCATTCATATTGACTTTCTGAATGGTGCCCTCTGGAGTTGTGCAGTACACGATCTGCACAGCTGTACATGGAAGCCTTGCACCCTCCCCTGCAGCCCTGCAAGCACACACACGCAGAGTCACAAACACATGGAGATACACACTCAGATTCATTCCCAGACCAACTCACACTTGTAAACATACATACCCCTCTGGCACAGGCCCACACACTTACTACCCACTATAATTGCCTGTGCACACACAAACATCCTCCATAGGTACACATCTGCACACCACTCCTCCTGACTTCCTGATGTGCCCTCTTAAAACATCCCCTCCCACCTCACCTTGTGCTGCAAATGTGTAACCAACAAATTGACAGCCACAGAGACCCACAATCACATATACACTTGTAGACTCTAGCATAGAACAACCCCCCTTAAGAGAGACAGTTGCCTACATACAGATGTACAGACACCCACACCCATACACATCCACACACACCAGGCTCCCCCACCCCTGGGAGAAGTCAGAACCCACAGCAACAGGCAGCCTATGGGGTCCGCTCTGCCTAGGGATGGACTCCCACCTCATAGGCCCCATCCACACATTGGCCCCGCCCCATAGTTAGCCCCACCCCAGACCCCACCCAGCAGTTAGCCCCACCCCACAGGCCCAGGGAATGGCCCCACCTCATTGGCCCTATCCAGAAACCAGCCCCGCCCCCAAGGATGGCCCCGCCTACAGGTCCCACCCAGCGGTTGGCCCCCATCCTCAGGCCCCGCCCAGGGGCTGGTCCCGCCCTGCTGGCTCCAGGCCTGCTCACCTTGTGAGAAGCCATCTCGCTCACGGAGCGGTAGGTCTGCATGGTCTCCAGCTGTTCTAGACACCAGTCCAGCTCCTCCAATGTCTCCCGGGCCAATTGCTGACATGTCTCTTCTAGAGAAGGGGTAGCACAGGTGGTGACCCAGAGGCCCCAGCCCATGATGATGGGGGTCCATCAGGTGAGAGGGGTGCTGGGAAAGGACAGTTAAGACAGCCACCCCCGAGTGAGGGGACCCCCCCAGCAGCAAGAGGGGCGCTTTCCCACCCCCCTGGGCTTTGTTACCTGACAGCGTGGCCTTGCAGACAGGGGTTGGGCCGCCCAACGGGGACCGTCTGCAAAGAAATGGGGCTCCAGCATCAGCCCGTGCGCCCCCAGATTCCTGCCTCCCCCTCTCCATGAATAATGCCGATTTTCCTTTTTCTGAGTGCTCAATGTGTCCCATGTACTCAGCCTGCAGCTTCTCACAGAGCCCCATAAGGACCCATTTTACAGATGAGGAAACGGGCTCAAGGAAGTGACAGGGCTGATCAGAGGTAGGGACAGGTCCTTTGTCTCCAAAGTTCCTGCTGCCTTGAGCATCTCTCCCCTAACTCCTGGAGGGACCAGCAGTTCTCAGCCACGCCCCTGCCCCCACATAATAACTACTGCTATTAAGTGAGGACTTACTATGTGCTGCACAACGTTCTCACACTTTTCTATGTATCATCTTCCAGACTCCTCACAGCAGCATCTAATGGAGGCGCTATTAAATTCCCATTTTATGGAGGGGCAGCAAAGGTACCACAAGATGCTATTTGCCCGGAAAGTTGGCATCGGGGCCTGGAGTGGCCCCAAGCCTGGGGTAACTGGCTACCCTTGGCTTCACCACCATGTGTCTGGACCCCTTGGTCTTTATTTTTAAGTTTCTGTCTTAGGCATTCAAATTGCAATGGTTTACTGGCTCAGAGGGAGCTGTTGCCTGAACAGAAGCTTGGAGAGGTCAAGTTCCTGCCTGAGGTCACACAGTGGAACTAAGAGTTGAACCCAGGGGTGCTTAGCCTTGTGATCATGAGCGCTGGGGCCCAGCTTTGACTTACTTGTTGCTGGGAATGGGCACATTGGTCAGGAGTGAGAAGTTGCTGCGAACACTCCGGAGACTGGCCAGCACCTGGGACAGGGAGCAGCAGTGAGGGGAGGGAGCCACTCAGAGAGGCAGCTGGGGCTAGGCCCTTGTCCCCCCCCCCCCCCCCGTGTGGAGGGAGGGTTGGAGCCCCTTCTCTCCTTAGGGGAGGGGTCTTACCTGGGCAAAAGGTGTCACAATGAGGTCCTCAGCGTGCCTGCAATCAAGGACAGGGGCAGGTCAGGCGTCCTCACAGTGGGACACCCACGGGCCTGGGTGGAGAAGGGCTAGGGTGCTAGAGAAGCAACTCTCTAGAGCGGACACTCTGTGGGGGTTGGGCCTGGGGAGGTTGGTGGGCTGGGAGGGGAGGCTCCAACAGGTGAGGGGAGAAGGCACTTACTACCTCCCAAGGGTAGACACCCTGAGGGGGCTGGTCCTAAAGGAAATGGTGGTCAGAGAGAGGAGTTCACGTGAGTGGGCAGGGAGGGGGTGTGCAGAGACAAAGGGGATGGCCACAAATACACTGCCAAGGCTGGGCTTGGTGTGCACCGTGGGTAGGAGGGGGTGGGGAGCAGGAAGGAGTTGGGGGCGCTGAGGTGGGTACCTGGATAGGTAGGGCCAGGGCTGGAGGATCCAGGGAGAGGGGAGGGGGCTGAGCAGGCCTGGGGGTGCTCACACCTCAACAGGTGGTCGTGATAAGGGGGGCTGGCTTAGGGAAGCCTGGAAGGGGGGAAGGAAGAGGGGGCTCAGCCAAGGTGGACAGTCTGTGGGAAGATGTGGCAGCAGGGAGGGGCTCAAGTGGACTTCCCTCCTTGTTGGAGGGACAGGCTGAGGGGGCGGCCAGGCCCCAGCTGCCCATGTGTATGAGTGGGCTTCGGCAGGCTGGGTGGGTGGGACTGGGTCCTTGCTGTGGGCAAGGGGGCTGTTTACTTTTCCCTGGAAGGGAGAGGTGGCCCGGGGCTTGGGCAGTGTCCCCACTCCCTGCTGGCAAGGGCAGCTTATGTTGGGAGCAGGCCTGGAGGGTGAGAAGGGGGTGCTCACGCCTCGCTGGTGACCGACGAGTTCCGGGACATAGTTTTGGGGGACATGTCGTAGTCGCTGTCTGAACGGTACAGGAAGGACTCCCGGCGCTGGCTGGCAGCGGCCCCAGCATGCAGCACGAGGCCCGGGCTCGCCTGCGAGTCCAGGGGGCTGCGGCCAGGAGATGGCGTGGGCCCATTCTCTGCCTCGAAGCTGTAAGGGGATGAGCGACAAGAGGGGTCAGGGGGTGCTGAGATGGCATTGGGGAGGTCACGAGGAATAAGGGTACCAAGGAAATTCTGGTAGAGGCGGGGGGGTCAGATAGAAAACATTAACGAGAGACAGATATCCCGAAAGAGACGGGAGACGGGGAATTGCAGAGCTCAAACAACTATTGAGCGCCTTTGTGAGCCAGGTTCTGTAGAGGTGCTGGGGACGCAGCAGTGACCGAGACAGACCACTATCTGTCCCTCACGGACATGGCATGGGGAGGGCTGGACTATAAACAGGTTAGCCTAGCTGCAGTGCACACCCCAAAAGTGTGGGGGCCTTCTTGGCTCTACTCTTTTTTCCTCGATGCCCAAGGCTATTCAGAATCTGTCCACTTCTTACCCCCTCCTTGGTCAGCCCTGTCTCATTGCTTGCCTGGACCAGTGCATTTGTCTCTGCCCTGGCCCCTGGCTCCTGTCTTTGCCCCTCAGTCTGTTCCCCTCCATTGTGGCCAGAGGGAGCCTGTGAACACCTGTGTCAGGTCACATCCTTCTTCTGCTCAGACCCTTCTGTGGCTCCCAGCTCACTCAAAGCAAAAGCCAAAGTCCCCCCAGTGGCCCACAAGGTCCTGCCCCATGACCTCCCAGTCTACCCTTCACTCACTCTACTCCAGCTACAATGGCCTCCTTGCTGTTTCCTAAACATTCCAGATACATTCCTGCCTCAGGGCCTTTGCCCAGGCTGTTTCCCCTCCCCGGATCTCCAATGGCTCCTCCTTTACCTCCTCCAGGCCTCAGCCCAAACCTTGTCTTCTCAGGAGGCCTCACCTGACCAACACATCTAAATCTAAGATCTGAATCTCTGCCCTAATATTATATTTCCCTTCCTTAAAAAAAAGAAATACTACTTACCTGACATATTCTATATTTGACTTCTTTACTATTTGCCTTCCTTTCTAGAACTAAGCTTTGCAGAGCAAGGATTTTTGTCTGCTTTGTTCATTGCTATATCCCTTGAGCCAGGAAGATGGCCTGGCACACAGAGGACACCCAATAAATGTTTACTGAATAAATCATAAAATGTTAACGAATGAATAGATGAACTGGATTGTGCCATGCACAGAATCAAAAACCAGATGGGTGACTGAAAGTTACTGGAGAGGTGACTTGAGCTGCTGTAGCTGAGCCAGGCCTCTTTGAGGAGGGGACATGTGAGCAGGCCCTGAAAGATGAGAAGGAGCAGGCCACGGGTCAGGAGGTAGGAGAAAACACTTGGCGGGGAGGGGCTGGGGGACGGGATCAGCAAGTGCAAAAGCCCTGGAGCAGGATTTGGTTTTTGTTTGAGGACTAGCAAGGAAGCTCTGTGGCTAGAGGGGAGATACAGTTACCGAGAGAGGGGAGGAAGGTGGGACCCCAACCCGGTGGCACTGGCAAAACAGATCCTCAGGACGAGGCAGGGAGATGCTGGCTCTGCCAATTCCCAGAGGTGTGGCTTGGGGGGAAATGGCTGAATTTCAGTTTCCTCATCCACAAAATGGGGACAAGCACCACCTCCCTCAGGTCATCCAGGTGACCAGTGTGAACACAGGTAAAATGCTCAGGATGGTGCCTAGCACAGAGCTCAGGAAACACTGGCAATTGTGAGTCAATCAGCCCCATACATGCCACTGGGGTGTGGACTCAGTAAGGCAGTTGATATGGAGAACTGAGGATGAGTATGGGGAGTTATGTGCTTGCAGCATACTGTGTGGCCTTGGGAAGGCCACTGCCCTCTCTGGGCTGTTACCCTGTTGTTAAAGTGAGGGGGTTAGACTGGTCAGCTGACTTCAGGCTATGCTCTGGTGGGTGCAAGGGGGCAGGGGAAGGAAATGGAACCCTCCCCTTTCCAGTCCTACCTATTGAGAATCAGTGTAAGATTTTATTTGAATGGTCCCTCTGCTAAATAATAAGTCTGAAATCTCCTAGAGTAGGACAGCGAAACCAGCATCCATATATTAACCTTTTTTTCTGGGGTAGGGGTACAGGGAGGGACTTTGCTGATTCCATTTTACAGATGAAGAAACTGAGGTCAGAGAGGATAATGATTAGCTCTGGGTCACACAGCAAAAGCATGGTGAGGTCAGAATTCAAACCCAAATCTTGTAACTCCTCAACTGTCACCCTCTACCTCTCAAGTCCCATTCGAGCACATTCCCACCATTAAAGCAAATGTTCCCAGGGGCCAGGCAGCTGACACCAAAGACAGGGTGGTGCTGGGGGCCCTGAGCAACCAGCTATTCCAATTTTAGGAAAGAAATCAGAAATTTCATTTTTTTTTTTAATTATTTTTTTAAGGGGCGCCTGGGTGGCTCAGTTGGTTAAGCGACTGCCTTCGGCTCAGGTCATGATCCCAGAGTCCTGGGATCGAGTCCCACATCG